ATACGACGTGTTTAAAAAAGGTTTTAATTGGATTTATCTATTGCGTTCAATTGGTGATTTCACTACATTTCAATTAGTTGATAATTGTATGTTATGGGTAAATTTAAGTACTTAGTTATTGCATATGTATAAATTACACTTAATAATCACATGTAAATGTGTATTTGAACAAAATCTACGGTTGATATTCACGTGTGAATAATGCATATATTCATGTGCCATTGGGTAAAAACTTTTCACCAAGTAGATTAAATATTCAACAACCCATAGAAAAAAACCCTGCCAACGGGTACCAAAAAGAAGAGAGTGGCATGGAAAGGTAAATGAATAAACAGTAGTTTTGGGACCATGTTTGAAAAACGGGAAAGAAGAATGAAATTTCAAAAATTTGAATAATGAAATATGTAAAATGATAAAGATATGAATGTGGGAAAGGTTCATTTCAGAAGTGTTAAATATTTGAGAAGTAAAAAAATGATTTTAGTCATTTATCTGATCAATATTTACGGCTTTGACTGTGAATCACCGGATAATTCGTCGCATGGGTATTCGGAAGATAGAAGGGTAGTTGCGTAACTTTTACAAATAAACGGTAAACAGTTCATATGTGAGCCGTTAATTAGTTCATATGTGAATTGTTGAACTAATTCACAAATGCGAATCATGCGGATTCATATGTGAATCAATTAAATAGTTCATATGTGAATTACATAAGTTCATATGTGAATCGGTTGATTAGTTCATATGTAAATCACACGGGTTCACATATGCACTTGTTTTGCCACCTATTTATAAAAATTATGAAAACTATTTCTCTAACTTATGCATACCATGCGAAGAATTATCCAGTAGTTCACAGTCAAAGCCGTAAATTTTTACCAGATGAAAGCTATGATCATTTATCGACTTCTCAAATACTTACCACTTCTTAAATGAACATATGACTATATATATATATATATGTGTGTGTGTGTGTGTGTGTGTTCAAACAAGATCATGTCTATCATACAAAAACGCAAAAACACCTTTATTACATGTGATAATACAAATGAGAAGACCAGGTGGTGTCCGGAGGCGTGTCTTCCGACCTAGGTCGCGTCAAAAGTCGTCTACATCTCTGATTTAGTATCACATGTGATGGATTATAGTATCACATCAAAAACGCTTTTATTATAGTGACGTATGGGTAAACCTAGGTTGCAAAAAAGGCCGTGCACATCATTGATATAGTATCATATATGCATCATCTATACTATCTTATTAAACAAATTTAACAAAAGTCTTAAAGTCTAAAAATACTAAATGACCAAGATACCATTTATACTATCCTTATGTCATTTTTTCACCCCTCCTCTTCTCACATACACTCACCCCCTCACAACCCGATTTTTTTAAAATTATGATTTTAAATTTACATTTTATACCCCTATAATTAGTTAATTAATTTACTTTACGTGCTTTGCTTTTAAATATTTCATTTTAAACCTTTATCAAATTAACATATATAATCGTATATCAATTAAAACATGTTTAAAAAATACATTTTAATTTTAACAAGTTACACCATTATAATCATCTCGTTAATACCTTCGAAATGAGTCCAATATTGAATAAATTTTTACTTAATTATATTATTATATATACTGTGAAAAAATATTTTTAATATTTATGATTTATACTTTTATAGCTATTTATTTATATATATATTATATATTTTGGGGTTAGGCTGTCCAAATTGCACTGAATAATATGTTCTGAATTAATATGTTCTTGGGTTTTTTTTGAAATATATATATGTATTAATTCAACCTTAATCTGAGTTTCTAGACAAGAAAGAGGGTAATCAGTTGAAATTTCATTATAAAACCCATCTTTTTTGGTTTTTTCATGGCTTATGATCTGTCAAATTTGTAGTTTTCTGTATTGGTTTTGAGTGTTTATCTTAAAACTCAAGTTTCTTGGTTATTTGCTCTTGGTGTAAATCGAACACATTTGTGGAGTCGTTTAAATATGTTGGATTTCAAATATATTGGATTTTAAACTGTCATACAATTTTTTCATCGATAGTCTGTAATTGGAACCATAACTCTTATTTATTCAAATTGTATTAATATGTAATGACCAAGTGTAACATATATCTTCGTTAAATCTTATCTTATAAAACAAGTAAAACTTCAAAATCGTTAAAATTCATGACCCCTACCGTATTGCGCAGATACACATTAGTATGTGATGAAATAAAATATTGAAAGGTGAAATCATACATTGAATTAAATAAACAGGAGAATGCTATTGCTTTAATTACAATTGCTTCAGACATGTACAAGTTACTATATTACTACTCTATTCTAAAACTTCAAAATCGTTAAAATTCATGACCCCTACCGTATTGCGCAGATACACATTAGTATGTGATGAAATAAAATATTGAAAGGTGAAATCATACATTGAATTAAATAAACAGGAGAATGCTATTGCTTTAATTACAATTGCTTCAGACATGTACAAGTTACTATATTACTACTCTATTCTAAAACTTCAAAATCGTTAAAATTCATGACCCCTACCGTATTGCGCAGATACACATTAGTATGTGATGAAATAAAATATTGAAAGGTGAAATCATACATTGAATTAAATAAACAGGAGAATGCTATTGCTTTAATTACAATTGCTTCAGACATGTACAAGTTACTATATTACTACTCTATTCTAAAACTTCAAAATCGTTAAAATTCATGACCCCTACCGTATTGCGCAGATACACATTAGTATGTGATGAAATAAAATATTGAAAGGTGAAATCATACATTGAATTAAATAAACAGGAGAATGCTATTGCTTTAATTACAATTGCTTCAGACATGTACAAGTTACTATATTACTACTCTATTCTAAAACTTCAAAATCGTTAAAATTCATGACCCCTACCGTATTGCGCAGATACACATTAGTATGTGATGAAATAAAATATTGAAAGGTGAAATCATACATTGAATTAAATAAACAGGAGAATGCTATTGCTTTAATTACAATTGCTTCAGACATGTACAAGTTACTATATTACTACTCTATTCTAAAACTTCAAAATCGTTAAAATTCATGACCCCTACCGTATTGCGCAGATACACATTAGTATGTGATGAAATAAAATATTGAAAGGTGAAATCATACATTGAATTAAATAAACAGGAGAATGCTATTGCTTTAATTACAATTGCTTCAGACATGTACAAGTTACTATATTACTACTCTATTCTAAAACTTCAAAATCGTTAAAATTCATGACCCCTACCGTATTGCGCAGATACACATTAGTATGTGATGAAATAAAATATTGAAAGGTGAAATCATACATTGAATTAAATAAACAGGAGAATGCTATTGCTTTAATTACAATTGCTTCAGACATGTACAAGTTACTATATTACTACTCTATTCTAAAACTTCAAAATCGTTAAAATTCATGACCCCTACCGTATTGCGCAGATACACATTAGTATGTGATGAAATAAAATATTGAAAGGTGAAATCATACATTGAATTAAATAAACAGGAGAATGCTATTGCTTTAATTACAATTGCTTCAGACATGTACAAGTTACTATATTACTACTCTATTCTATTTAAGTACTTATATTTCATTTTTCCAATTTTAGCCTTACGTCTAACATGCGCCCATAGACATACACAGCTTCTTATAAACGCCGCTTGAAAGCCCAAAAATGCACGCCGCCGCATGGGTGATTAACATAAAACCTGGTGTGCAGGTTTAAGTCTGTTTCCTCCACCAGCGCATTTTATCTTCTGCCGGCCTTTATCCATTTATTTGTTGCTATTCATGTTTTCAATTTTGTGTATGCAATTTATCCCTTTTAAATAATAAAATAAATAGAATAATATTTAAAGGGGTAAATATATAAAATAACAACTTACTTTTATAAACTTTCGTATTATATCATTTTACTTTCAGTTTTTCTTATTACAATAATATAATTTTAAAATATTCTTTTTAGAACATCATGCTTTTAAAAATTTACCGGTTATAGCATTGAATAACCTTTTAAATTAAATTTACCCATTATATCATGTTTCTTTGCTACCTCATCGTCCATGTAGGCTGTCCGCATGTATGATAGTGTAGACATGCCATTTCTTATTATAGTATTATACTTTTAAAATTACTTTATTATAACGTCATCAATTTTTGTTACAACATTGTACTTTTAATTTTAATATTTTTGTCATTTAAACATTGTAAATGTAATCAAATATATACATACATGTATGTATGTATAGTGATAAAGTCAGGTTCATACGAGAACAACACCAAATAAGAGAATAAGAAATGGTCGAATCATAAGTGATTTTAGTATAAAATCACATGTGACTCACACGACTTTGGCTAAGACCTAAAGTCACGAGCCGCGTCAACCGCACACCCCTGCTTTAACTGTTAGCATAGTAATTTATCTGTTTTCGTATTCTTTTATTTGATTATCGTTGTATTTTAAGCTCACGTATTGAACAAAATTAAACTAATAATCTTGTTTTTTAATTTTTTTTTTGAAAGATAAAAAAAGAAGGACAAGGAGGAGAGCTTCGGCATAACCATCACCCTCACCAAGCCAACAAAAAATATTAAATAATCTTGTTTTTTAATTAACATGGATAACCAATCCGTTATGTGATCCGACTAATCTCAAAATGACCACCTGATTTGTATATAGTCCGAAATCACCACATTTAAACCTCTATAGCCCCAAGAGAAATTTGTATTCTATTTAGATTTGAACTCGAGACTTTTACGTAATTTTGACTCAAGAATCAACACATTACAAAATTAAAAGAAAATAGGTGACGTCAAATATTTTATAATTAATTTATTATTTATTAAATAAAAAAATAATTTTGGCGAGATGAGTTCAATAAACCATAGAAGTGTTCGGTCCATGCCATTTTAACAAATACGAAACCCCCACCCTTCACTTTCTCTCTCCACTTTCTCTCTCTAAACCTCTCGATTTCGACTCCCACACAGATGATCTAGCGACGCCTCTTGTCCAAATTCATCACCAACCCACGTCGTTTCTTCGCAAATCATTCATACCCATCTCCTCAATCTTCAAATCATATCCTTATAGATCGACGGTATGTCGCTCGTTCTATCTCCATCTATATATCTATATCTATATATATCTATACATACACGTGTCTGTGTATATCGTCTTTACTGCATATATGTTAGTGCCCTCAAGAGTTGCTTCAATCGTTGTTGATCTCGTTTGTTATCTTCAATGCAGGTGGAATTACCTACGTAAATTCAATGTGTTTTGCCCAGTGGGTGTTGCTAACATGCACCTCCTCTAGCTAGGTGTTACGTGAGGGTGTATTTATAAAGAGGGTTCGCTTAGTGTTTCTTTGCTGTTTTTTTAGGTGTTTGTTTTGTGGAAAGATGTCGAATAATCAGGTGGTCAAAATACCAAGAGATGCGATATCAGCATGCATGACATGCCCTATTTGCAATAAACTCTTTCGTGATGCCACTACCATCCCCGAATGCCTTCATACGTGTGAGTATTTCTGGATTATTCCAAATTCTATCATACGCTTTCAACTTCTTATGCTCATAAATCATAATCCTCATTTCATGAGTATGAATTCGATCTGGGTTTGACTTTGTGTTGTTGATTGGTATCTATGAGCTCGCAAGTCGCAATTGGGTGTTTCCATGGTGATTTGGTTATGATTCTTTTACTATTACTCGTTTAATCGGCAATCTTTTATATTATCTGGCTTGTTTAGTGAGTGAGTAGCAAAAACAGTGAGTTTTGTTAATTTGATTGATGGGGTTATGGGAATGAGTTAATTGGCTGTTCCATTGATCTGATTGATCGTGATTTTTTTTATATTGTTTGTAAATGTAGCTGTTGAAATTTGCACTTTACTAACTGAAAATTATGAACACAGTTTTTTCATTATTCTCCTGCTATATGAATCTTTTCAAACAGAGATTTACAAAAAAGGGCCATAATTTTCAGTTCCCCAAATTTTTTTATGTAACTATGTTGATTTTGTTTTTGCCCAAAAGTTCAATATCTTTGGTGTTTGTTTACTTGAAATCTTGTGATGAAATCATGCATGCCATTCTGATTAAACATATATGTTGTTCCCATTTTCATTTAAGCCCAAAGAACTGATAAGAGGCTAAGAGCCTACATTGGTTGGGGAGGGGAACTAAGGTTGCCTTATAATGGACTAGATATCTCCTCTACTAGACTCGTTTTAAAACCGTGAGTCTAGGTGTGGAGAAAACGGATAATATCTGGTACGGTTGGCCTGAGATGTTACAGATGGTAACAGAGCCAGGAATTGGAGGGACGTTGGGCTCCCAAGGGGGTGGATTGTAAGATCCCACATCGGTTAGGGAAGGGAGCTAAGGTTGCCTTATAAGGGATTGGATACCTCCTCTACTAGACGCGTTTTAAGACCGTGAGTTCATGTGTGGACAAAGCAGACAATATTTGGTATGGGTTGGCTTGGGATGTTACATTTGAGCTGAGTGCCTAAGGTTCAGCCCAGGTGTGGGAACACTCTAGTTGTAAGGTAATGAGTTAAAGATTGGATGCTTAGGTTGCAAGGAAACTACTTTGTAGTTTCATGGACTCATGCACTCTTCAAGTTTGTGACATGAAAGCTAACAGTTTGAATTTCTATGTGTATTAATTCCGGCTCAAAAAATGGGTATATTCTTACATTTTGCCTGTTGAACACCATCCAGTCTGCAGGAAATGTATCCATAAGAAGCTCACAGATGAGGAACTTGAATGTTGCCCAATATGCAATATTGATCTGGGATGTGTGCCTTTAGAGAAACTGAGGTCTCTCTCTCTCTCTCTCTCTCTCTCTCTATATATATATATATATATATATATATGCATATATATGTATATATCCTTCCTTGTTGATATCTATCTTTCTAATGTTATTGCATTTATCAACGTGCTTTAAAGTATTGTTTGAATCGTTGAAGAGAACATAATAGATATACCCATCATGTAACTCTTACAATTTTTGTCCATGTAGGATGGTCTACAAATGCATTCTGCACTATTCAGAACATAAGTAATTGAGATCTAGAATCATATTTTAATTGATAAGCATGCTTCTTAAGATGGACATCATGTTTACATTATATAAGATGTTTGTGTAACTAAATTGATCTGATACATAATATGATCATCCATAGCATAGGCATATCTAAAATGCAGATTGGTTTTGATTCTAATCTCTCACTATGGGGTTGTTTGGTTGGTTTTCCATTAAGTCCTATATAGATAAAACTGTATGTGTGGATTAATTTGTATGTAAAGATTGAGAAGATTTTTGTTTGGAAGGGTTTTTTCATAGATGAAATGAGCGTGTTTCTTAATTGGGAGGAACAAGTTTGGAAAAAACTTGATTTTCTGCATGAAGTCGGTCATTTAAGGATATGACCTTAAATGGGTTTTTAATTAAATTCATGACCTTCTGGCTTATATAGGAAAAAATGGCTTTATACTCATGAGAAGGTCATGGATTATTAAAATCTCATTTAAGGTTATATACCTAAATATCTTGCATAAAGCTCCCGCCTAAAAGCATACTGAATAAGCCACTTTCTATATCATTAAGCCACTACCAAACAGTTACATATAGCTGACCAAATAAGCTGTGAGTCCCATTAAGCTCATTAAGCTAACGGGCCCTCTCTCTGATATAGTCGTATAGCTATGCTAGTGACCTTTCTTATGTTCTATATAGAAGAGGCTGTAAAGCACATTATAAGAGTTTGTATACCTGTGCTGAATAAGTGAGTAGAAATCCGACGTTTTCAGAATATCTATTATAAAGATCCAATTTTTTGTTGCTTGCTTGATCTTATCTGTCAGTTGATATAAACCCTCTGCAAGATTCATTTCACTACTGTTACTTTTAGTTGAAGAAAGCCTCCTATTTCATGATATGTACATGCTGTTTTGCTATTGGTTGGGAAGTGTGTCTGTTGTTATTAAGCTGCTGTTGGTTTTTTAATGTGAAACTAGATTCTCAAGTATTCTATTGACAATAATGGCCAAAGCAATCACCCTATTTAAGTCAATTTTCCCAGACTTTAAAGATGGGAAGTGCGGTAAATCATTTAATTGCATAAAAATGGACTTCCAATGACATTGTTCGACTCTGCAACAAGTGCAGCTTCACTAAGAGGCTGTTTGTTTGGTTTTCCATTAAGTCTAGTATGGATAAAGTTGTCTGTATGTATTAATCTATTTGCATAGATTGTGAAGGTTTTTGTTTGGGAGTGGTTTTTCATAGATGGAAGGAATGTGTTTTCTAATCGGGAAGAGGGACAGGTTTGATAAAAATATGGCCTTTTGCATAAGCCACTTTCTATATCATTAAGCCACTACCAAACAGTCATGTATAGCTGCCTGAATAAGCTGTGAACCCCATTAAGTTCATTAAGATGATCAAAGTATCTACCCTTCTAGCTTCTCTACCATATTATCTTTTGGGGGTACTCATCATAACTCTTTTTAGGACAATCCAAGAAGTGCTTATTTAAATTATAGTTTGATGATGTGTCAATTAATGTATGGTATTGCATATTGTTTTTTGGTAGATCTTACCATTAATAAATTTCCAAGTGCATCAATTTGTTTTCCTTCCCTTTTAGATTGAAAGGAATACTTCATCTAATTAAAACCCGTTATTTGTTTCCTTTTCTTTATTTATCAACCGCTTTTTGACTATAAACATCCATTTTACAATTAGATATATCAAACCCATCAAGACATCGAACATTGTAGTCAACATCTCTTTTTCAAATATTCACATTGTCCATAAGTCATCAAAATTTTTACATATATTTACATCCTTACATTGTAGATAAAACTACATGCGTTCATGATATTACAACGAAACGAGATGAGCTAATTTACCCCCCCCCCCCCACATCCCGGCTGGGGGCGGGGTGTGGGATTTACACAAACATGACCTCTACCTCAAAGAGTAGAGCATCTATTTCCATAAAAAGAGAAATCTTGAAATATGATTGATGTATTTAATTGTTGAGGCAATTCTTGTTTTTGTCAAGCAAGCCAGACCATAATTTGCAAGACATTAGAGCCAAGATATTTCCTTCTAAACGGAGAAGGGTAAAGGCCCCTGAGGTTGTGCCTTCAGTTACGCTACCGTTAAGAAGGAAAGAGAGATCACTCTCATCACTGGTAGTCAGCACTCCCAGAGTGTCGACACAAACTACAATGACTGGGAAAAGGTCAAAAGCAGCCGCAAGAAAGAAACTGCGTGGGCCCAGTTTCTCCGTTGAGAAATCTGTCAAGAATGAGGAAGATTCCATGGATGACCACCAAGATAGCTCGAGTTCAAGGGAGATTTCAAATAAGCTCACACAGAATTTAGGGCAGGTAGAGAAGACAAACGATGCCGGCATTTGATTACCTTATTTCCATTCGTTTACTTATATATATACATATATATATATATACATATATATATANATATATATATATATATATATATATATAGAGAGAGAGAGAGAGAGAGAGGGAGGTTTAGGGGAAAACCCAAAAAAATGAAAAACTGAGGAACACCCAGGTAACCGTTTCATCTGGACGGTATGCATATGCATACAAGTAATTGAAGTTGGTTCTTAGTTTTTATGCATGTGTGCATGTTATGCACATTTGTATATTGGACGAATTGCTTATGAATTACTTGTATGCATGTGCATACCGTCTAGATGAACGATTACCAAGGTGCTCCTCAAATTATTATTATAATGCGGTTTTCCCCTGAACCTGACGCTATATATGCATATATAGGAGCATGTTCGATTAGGAACCTTAAATATTTTAGGAACCCAACAACCTCCTATTTTGTAAGTATTCATGATGAATATTATTCGTCATGAATATCTTTCACGGCATTCATCATGAATATTATATTGCGTTATTCATCATGAATACTCACAAAATGGGTGGTTCCTGAGTGTCCCTAAACGAACATCCCTCTACGTATGTATCCTTCTTACCTTCTATCAGTATCTTTAACGAGAAAATAACAATATATATGCAGAATTCCTCAACTCCTGAGCCATCCAGTGATCCTTCACCTGATAAAGAAACAAAGAATGGTAGTGGACCACGGGATGGGAAAGTTGATCTATGGAAACCTTTGAATTATTTGGTGGAAGTGGCAAATAGGAGTAAATCTTCCAAGTTTACTTCACAAAGTTCTGCTGTCAAATCACCACCACAACATACTCCGAAGAGTGAAGGACATGGCCGTAAGCCCAAAGGGCCTCCATTAAAGCGATCTAAATTTCAAGATGAGAATGGCAGGTCTGATGTGGATGTGACAGAATCGGCAAAACCTAAAAAGATAAGAAAGAATCGCAAAAACAAGGCAGATATGTTAGGAGAGTCAGATGTTGCTACTCTACAAGCTGCATTGGATGCTGATGCTAATAATGCTCCCCGGGAGAAAAGAATAAATCCTATTTGGTTTCACTTGGTGCCTTCAGAAGAACAGTGAGTTTACTTTATTTCAGCTTAAGAACACGGGGTTTGAGTCTTTTTTAGACACACAAACGTTAGCAAGTTTATAACTTTTCGTTTCTTACGTTCGCTTGTTGATACCCTTCTAATTTTTCAGGGAAGGAGAACCCTTGGGGCAGATAGAAGGAAGTTTTGTCAGACTAAAGTGAGTTCTCTTTTTTTTTTTTTGTAGTATCCTTTCTTGTCCAAAGTTTCTGGTAACCTGGAAATCTTTTATACGCCTATTTTCATAGGTGTTGTTTTTGATAGTGGGAAACATGGCAGACCTTGGAGAAACCTGTAAAGTTAAGGGAAATTTATAGAAATAGCCAAAGCTGATAGGTGGTTTCATTTTTTGGCCATTTTTCTGACCTAAATTCACTTTTTAGCGAATTCTTACGTGGAAGGCTTACACATATGCGTAAGGATTGGTTTTCGGCAAAAAAAAAGAACCCTTACGCATATTCATAAGGTTTCTGCGTAAGGATTGGCTGAATTGGGTATTTCAGGTGGATCCTTACGCAAAAACCTTAAGCATATGCTTAAGGATTTTTTTTGCCGAAAACCAATCCTAACACATATGCGTAAGGATTGGCTAAATTTGGGTATTTCACGTGGCATCCTTATGCAGAAACCTTACGCATATGCTTAAGGATTCTTTTTTTTTTTGTTGCCGAAAATCAGTCCTTACACATGCATAAGGATTGACTAAAAAGTGAATTTGGGTCAGAAAATGGCTAAAAAGTGAAACCCTATTTGTTGATTGGCTATTGATGTCAATTTCTCTAAAGTTAATCCTTTGGAGCGAAAAGTCATGGGTTCAAGTCATGAAAACAGTTCTCTTTGCAAATATTCAATGGGAAGAATGCATACATCATGAGCTTTCTCGGTAGTAAAAGTAGCACCAATAGCCGGAATACAATGGAAAAATCACTGAAATCAAAGCTTGTGATGCATTTGTATACTTTCACTATTGCTCAGAATCCTCTTTGTTTATGCAAACTGAAAACCCGAGTGTTAAGTTGTATATTGAAGATTGTTGAAGCATTGGCACCTGCTCATGATGTGGCCGAAAACTTGTCTCTAATAAAGAGAAATGCGTAGTTCCATTAGCTTAATGTCAGTTTTTTTAGTTCATCCATTGATGCTGCCAACCACAGGCTTAACTTAGAGTATCTCCGATAGCTGCAATTTGCAGGTTGACAAAAATACCCACAAGACAAAGTTTTCGTCCTTTTTGCATGCCCATCGTCTTTTGCCTCTTTAGCCATCTTAACTCATAATCCATTGCAGATCCGTGGTGCATAATTGAATTGCTTCATTTTTTTTACCTCAGTGCTTTCACTATATTGCTTTAGAGATTAGTGACTTAATTGGATAGGTTGGTTGGGACCTAGCATGGGTTTGACATGATCAAATTCTTGTGTTGCACATAACCAGCATGGAAATTATCAAATTGTCTTTGGAATTGAAGTCATTATTCGTTTGGGATATTGTAGCAGCTCTTTAAGAGAGACACGAATTATGGGTAGTATTTTTGCTGAACAGGTGGTGTTCTTTTTAATAATAATTTTACTGCTACCTGCCGAATCCGCCCACTCTTCCTCCCCTGTTCCTTGTTTGTGGTCTAAAAGTTGTACATACATACATACATATATATACATACATGCATATATACATACATATATACATGCATATATATACATACATACATACATATATATATATATACATACATACATATATATATACATACATACATATATATATATACATACTTATACGTACACAAATATATATATATACATATACAGATATTTATATGGGGAATTCCCCATGTGCGATTTAGGGGAAGACCCCCAAAAATGAAAAACAGAGGAACACCTTAATAACCGTTCATTTGTACGGTATGCATATGTGCATATAAGTAATTGAAGATGTCTAATGGTTTCTATGCATGTGTGCATGTTATACACATATGTGTACGGACGAATTACTTATATGCACATGTGCATACCATATAAATAAATGTTTATTAGGGTGTTCCTCAGTTTTTCATTTTTGGAGGGTTTTCTCTTGACCCTATATATAATGTATGTATGTATGTATAGACGAAGGATCATGTGAGAATAGGAGTTGAGGTGAAAAGAGTAAGAAGGGATCTAGACCCTTGATCACTTTTAATCTCACCCCTACCCCATGAGTTGTGCTTGATATGGGAATTGATTCGGTGCATCTTGTTCAATTAGGATTCATCCAAGGGTGGAGATCCCTTCTTACCCTTCTCACTATAACTTCCATTCTCATCAGAACCCAACCCTATATGTGTGTATATCTTCTTTGATGATTAATTTGGTTAACAAAGAAAGGGGATCTTATCTATTGGAGGAGCTACATTTTCATCTTTCTGTATTTGTCTGAACTATTTGATTTCCAATTTCATAATTTGTGAATTTTCATGTGTCTATTTTAACAAGAAAGACCAAAATAGCCCCCTTGTGCCCTGTTTGGTGTATCCTTTGTATTTGTGGTCAACAATTCAGTGACTCGGGTCAACACTGCACCCCATAAGCACCCAATACAGGATGTGGCAAAAGATTAGGAGCACTGCTGCATCCTATCTAATCATCTTCTCTTTGACTAAAACAGAAATTTCCCCAACTTCCATTTTCTTTGAACCACGATCTGTTTTATATTATTTCAACTTTTGTTCAGTTTGTTTTTTCTGCATTTCTAATCCTCCATTTACCATCTTTCTAGACATATAACTGAGTAGAGTGAGTCGGGGGAAAACCCCAAAGAAATTGAAAAACTAAGGAACACCCTAGTAACCATTAATAATAGTACAGTATGTACATGTGCATACAAAGAATTGAAGATGTTTTCTGGTTTCTATGCATGTGTGCATGTTATGCACGTGTGAATACCGGACAAATTACTTACAAATTACTTGTATGCACATGTGCATACTGTACAAATGAATGGTTGTGATTCATCAAAGTTCCAGTTCTGTTTTGCAAAGACCGTATCTGTCACTCAAACCTACCAGTTCCTCGTTGGTTATATATTAATAATACACTGGTTTTTTATGGTTTCAGGGATGGAAACATACCTGTTTCAATCATCCAAAAGTTTGTGATGAGCAAATTGAAACTTGGAAGTGAAAATGAGGTGAGTCTTTTGCTTATGTCATTTGGTCAACAATCAAACTCCATATACACACACACACACACACATATAAAAATATATAGGATCGGGTTAACGTGAGAACCACAAAAAAGATTGAGAACCATAGAACCTGTATATTCATTGATGCATATACACTATCAAAATATGTATTTCATCAATGAATATATTCATCAATGCATATCTAATATGCACGCAAGAATATATGCGCTGATGCTTATATTCACAAAATTCATTAGCGTATATGCATCAATGAATATAAATGTTCTCCGGTCCTCAAATGAACTGCCTCCTATATATATACAAATATATATTAGTGTGTTACCATTATGTTGTATGCATTATATTGTAAGAAAGGAAGAAAACAAAAACTTTCTGCTCTTTGATGTGCATAAATATGTAGCCTGGTATATTTACTCGATCATTCTGCTAAAATCTTGCAACTATTTTCATAGCGTTCTTGTACTCTTGTTTTTATTGGAAAAGGATGATCCTAGGATTCGACCAGACTAATCCCATGGCAAGTCGTGACTGAGGTAAATCCCCCAGTGAGCGCATATGTAGATAGCAGGATTCGAACCCATCCATCATGCTTAGTACCACTCTTGTGGGTTTTCATGTACTTTTGATGTGGATAGTTAGAGCATCTCCAACATGATCTCTCCATAATTTCTCAAAATTGGAGAAACAAAAATCCAAACAAGTTGCATTCAACTCCAATCGATTCTGGAGATCTCAACGTAATTATATTATTAAAAGATTCAATTATATATAAAAAAAAAAGGAGTCTCTCTCTTCGGGGCTGTTTGGTTGGTTTTCTATTAAGTCTTGTATGCATAAAGTTGTCTATGTGGATCATTCTGTCTGTATTGGGAAGGGTTTTGTTTGGGAGAGTTTTTTCATAGATGGAAGGAGCGTGTTTTTTAATTGAGAGGGACAGGTTTGGATAAATCTTGGCTTTATGTATAAAACATTTTGAATAAGCCACTTTCTATTCCATTAAGTCACTACCAAACAACTATATATACCTGACTGAATAAGCTGCGAGTCCTATTAAGCTCATTAAGTAGTGAGTCTCATTAAGCTCATTAAGTAGGTAACAAACATGCTCTTCCTCCATTTAGTTTTATTGGTGGGTTGGGAGTTTTTTCTTGGGAAAATACCAAAAGTCATTTCTTTCTTCATTTAGAAATTTTGATTCTATCCTACTTTTTCCATTTCGAATGATTTGTTGGAAATGCTCTTACACATTTCTCTGTGTTTCTTACAAAAGAACACTCCTTTGGGTATCTATATCCGTTGCTTTAACTGTCGTACAATTATCACGAAAACCATCCGTTCTTTTTGAAAAACGCACTCCAAGATTCGAATAACTCCATTTCTAGATGTCTCGTGTTGATTCCAACATTTTCTTTTTTCCAAGTGAGCGGAAATTAACCTCTTTTTTGCAGGTTGAGCTCAGGTGCATGGGTCAGCCACTGGTGCCAAGCTTGCTGTTGGGTAATCTGATGGAGCTGTGGCTTCAGACACAACCGACTTCGCAAACGGTTTCGGTTGTGATTGGATCATCGGCTAAGGAATACATGATGGAGATTTTGTATGCTAGAAAGGGTTCCGGCCTACCACCTTCGGCTACTTGAACATATGTAGCCAACCATTTCTGTTGGTTTTTATAGCTTGTGTATCAGATAATATGATGGATTACAAAGTTTTAAGTTGCTATATAGTTGTTGGTTTGTGGGTATCTTGGTTTCTAGATTTTATAGTTTATGTATGAGATGATATGAATGATTATAAAGTTTTAAATAGTTGTATGTTTGTGTTTTTTAATTTTTGGTCTTTGAAATTTCTTGTAAATATAAAAGATGAATGACAAATTGTATGAAAAAGTAACGTACTTTAACTTGATTCCTATTTTGGGTAACGTAATTTCAAAACTTTCATTTTGGTATCTAAGATATAAAGTTTTAAATGTTTAAGTACCCAAGTAGTCAGTTGAAGCATTAATCGATTACCATGCCAATGTAGCGAGTGATGTGGTATCCAACTCGGTATTATTTGCTATTCAACCCAATTTCATCTCATCACTTTACCAGTCCGATTCCGCATGAATTGCTTTCTTTTCTCCAGTCCAATCCGATTCTGCATGAATCGCATTCTCCAGTCCGATTCCGCATGAATTGCTTTCTTTTCTCCGGTCCAATCCGATTCTGAAAAGACTGAGCACAGCCTGTTGTACCACATCAGCATGGTAACCGGTTACCCAAGTACTTAAATGTTTAAAACTTTACATTTTAGGTACCAAAATGAAAATTCTAAAAGTACGTTACCCAAAATAGGAATCAAGTTAAAATACATTACTTTTTCATGCAATTTACCCAAAAGATAAAGTTATTAGGGGCAGGTTTAAATGAGAACAATAAATATTTTGAGAACCTAGGAACTAATTATCCGTTGTTTTATTCATAATGAATGTTGCCATAGGTATTTATGATGAAAATTCTTCGTAATAAAAATACATGTTAAAAATGTTGTCATATTCAGTTGCAGCTCCAAGTGGAGCTAATGCATCTTTAAGGTGGATCAAAGATTTGTAGAGTCGTCTGATGTGTTTGTAGGAAAAAGACCAACCTTTTCGAGGGACTTTTTTGTTTTTTATTGTTGATGTTCTTTATATTTTCTAATATTCCGAAACACCCCCTTAAAGTTTAACGTGTGTTTCTTTCATACTCAAACAAATAAGTTACTTGCAAAACTCGGTTCACCTTTGGACATAATTACGATAAAAATGGATGATATCACGAATAATGAATAATATTCATGACTATTTGGGATTATTCATTATGAATAATACATTGAATTAATGGTTTTCAAGTTCTCAAAATATTTGTGATTCTTATTAAACTACTTTAAAGTCTTAACGGGTATAATATTATATAAAACATATAAAAGAGGGAGTTAAATTGAGAAAAATTGATAGATTGGGGGGGCAAAATGAAATTAATGATCCAAAACAACATATATTTACATTGACTTTACTACCACTAATTTGTCCTTAAATTACAATGTTTACAACTAATTAACACATATTTCTAAAAATAGAAATAAGAAAGGGAAAAAAAAAGATAAGTTCTTTTGCATGCATGCTCTCTGATTTCCTCATTTAAACAATAACAACAACAACAACAATAACAACAATAACGAACAAAATACTTAAATTCCGGTGAAACCGAGCTCATCAAGAACCTCCTTGCAACGAGGATCGGCATCGGTGACCATGAACCCGAGAGGGTTAGCAAGACGTGCGTTACCTTTCGCACCCTGCTTGTTGGTCAGAGAAACCCTAACGTGGTTCTCGTCATCCATGAGTTCGGGACATTTAGGATCCGGGCTTTCTGAGACGCTGATTTCACAAACCTCGTCTGCATGGTCACCAACTGCTTTAAGCGTATACTTCCCTTTGTCATCGCTTGTTCCCTCGAGCCTATAGGTTTCCTCATCCGTCTCCTCTTTGTGGCACAGAAGGCTGACCTTGGTGTTCGGCAACGGGTAGCTAATCTTGGTCGGAAATTGGATTCGACATGGATCACAATAAACTTTACCCTGAACAATAAACCCCTGGCCATCGGCGGGCGCAGATTCTTTTAGCTGGAGACGCATAACGCGTTCTTTGTCGGCGGCGGCAGGACCTTCAGCGATTGAACCTTTTTCCTCATCCGTTGTGTCGTCACTGGGTCCAGGGACGGCTTCATCTTTCACCTCGACCATGAAGTCACTACTAGGCCCAGGTGCGTCTTCATCTTCTTCATCTTTTCCCTCGATCATAAAGTTGCCCTCAGGTCCAGGGGCGACTTCATCTTTCTCCTGGGCCATGAGCTTGCTGGCCGGGGCGAGGGGATCTAGTAATTCATCTCCTAGGGTATCGTAGTCTCCTATACTGGCCGGGGGCGGGGCACCACCGCTGATCCAGCTGCAACGGGCGGTTGCCACCATGGACAAGAGGACTAAAAGGGTGGCATAATCTGCCATCTTTTCTTCTTTTTCTTTTTTTATAAATGTTTAGATATATATTATGAGATATGGGGTTTCTATTTTGTGTGGTGCGGTGGCGGTGGCGGAGAGGTGGTGGTGGGTGGTGGTGGCTGAGATTGATGAGTTCAAAGGGGAAGTGGAGGGGGTTTTATTTTGAAAGGGTGAGGTTGGGAGAAAAAGGAGAGAAAACGGTTAGATTTCTATTTATATAGATTATTTCAAACACTAAATATTTTAATTTCTATTTTTAGAAATTAAGTTGATTACCCTTTTTAATATAAGACATATTCCATTCAACGTTAGAATCTGATTGGGAAAAGATGATAACGATTTAAATTAACTCGTTACTGTATCGGTAACGTTGTCTTTATAGATTAATCTGTCTATATGAACTGTAAAGGTTTTTGTTTGGAAGAATTTTATCCCGAGTCGACCACCTCCTTTGCAGATAGTCCAGAGTCACAGCATTTGAATCTCTGTGGCCACAAGAGAATTTTTATTCCTCTTTGGATTTGAACCTGAGACCTCCAGGCACTTTTGACATTTGGAGTCAAGTTCAAACCAATCAAACACCACCCTTGTGGTTATCATGAATGTTTTTTAATGTATATAATATTTATATACGACAAATACTGATACACCAATAACTCCAATCTAGACTCTATTAGTAACTCGGATACTGCTGGTCAATGACACTTTGTCATTAATATCATGATTGTTTTTTAAAGTATATAACATTTATATACGACAAATATTGATGCACTAGTAACTCCTGAGAGGTTGAACTCTACCTGTAACTCAGATATTGTTGGACCAACGACTCTTTTGGTAACTAATATCATGAATATTTATGCATATGCTTACATGTCATAGAAGAACTTGTAAGTCTTGACGTCCTCAATAATGAACTTAACGGCACCAATGCAACCCATAACCGCAACGGCTGAGAACCAAGTGGCAATAACAACGTTCAGAATCACTTTCGGGCTCGAATGCTTTGGCATTCTTCCCGCTTTCAGATGTGCTAATACGGGAAACACGAAGTCAAGTGGGGTGAACCCGATGGCTCCACATATCGACACGAAATCGCCAAAAAATGGCATGGCTGCAGCCACGAGGGTTATCAGACCCATGTAAAGTGAGGTGAATACAAGGCGTAGAAGATGGTTTCGGAGAGGGGATCGATGGGTTGGTTCGTTCGATTCCATTTTTTCCTCAAAGTAGGCGTATGTCGGCCTGCAATAAATCTTCCCAACACCAACAAAAATCACAAGGTTAAGAAACGAGTGACCAAATTTTCGAACCATTCTAGTTGACTTTTCGTCGCAAATCATCATTTTTTTCTGCAAAAAAGTCAAAAAGAAAGAAAAATTGACCAAAATAGTCTATCTCCCCAACAAAATTCACTTTAGCCAGTTTTTCAATCAAATTCTCATTTTGGCCGAAGTTTATGCAAGATTTACGTAAAACCTGTCTCTAGATTGAAAAAAGAAAAAAAAAGATCTTTATGCAAATTTGCATAAAGATTCCCAAGATTTCTTTTCTTGTTTTTCTTATTCTGAAAATAGACTTTACTCAAATGCGCAAAGCATTTACATAAACTTTGGTTATAATGGGAATTCGATGCCAAAAATGACTGAAAGGTGAATTTGGTTGAAAAGATCGGCTATTTTGGTCAATTTCCCAAATAATGCAAAAAGAACTATTGTAATTGGGATCTAGAATGGTTCGTTTCTTCATAGTACAATGCTTTTCTTTTTGCAATTTTGTAAGAATGATTACTTGTTCTCAACGAAAAGCCAAATACAGGCAAATTAAGGGGCCGTTTACCAAACTCTTATCTGGGTATGTGTTTACCAAGTCACGTTACCTCACCGGATGAATATGGTAAGGACCAAGAATCTTACCTGGTAAGAATGAGACAAGGACCAAGAGTCTTACCCGGTAAAGTGAGGGCGACGACTCTTACCACTGTAAGCGCTTACCAAGTAAATTGTTGCATATGATGTTGTTTTGGTGGACTAAAATTATACCCGGTAAGTAAATAATAGGGTTAAATTTACCGGTAAGCACTTACCGGGTAAGTGTTTGGTAAACGGCCCCTAACTTTTAGCTGAAAAACTAGTCATGTTTGATAAAAACTAACTAATACACTAGATGACAATGTAAAATGACCTAAAAAGACATGTTAACAAATTAAATGGGAAAAATATAGGGGTCGAACCGGAAAAAAATGGAAAAACCTCTAGAACTTATCGAAACGCTACTTCAATAACCTTGTACACAAGCAAAATCAAGCAAAATACCTGAAAACAACCAGATATTTGGATGACAGCAAAAAGATTTGCCATAACGATTGTCCATTCTGGGGTTTCAAGAGAAGCAACGATAAATGGATGGACTCCCGAACCGAATGCCCAGTAGCCAAGAAAGGCCAACTGCCAGTAACTCAATAGAATGATGCTGTATGCAGCTGCTATGCCTTTATACATAGTTTTCTTCACGGGTTCTCGGACCGTACTCTGCAAATTACGGTTTTGCTGGTTTAAGTTGTGAAGCAAGATTTGACTGTTAACTATATCAAACCAAACCAAATGAGCCCAATACACCTATCCCACCTACAGGTGGGGTCAGGGACGGGTAAGATGTAGGCAAACCTGACCTCCATGCCTCAAGGGTAGAGGTTTTACAAAACTTTACAAGATAATATGCACTTTTTCTTAAAGGGTTATAAGGTCATTTACCTGTATTTCTGGAAGCATGGCATTGCCGAACGAAAATGCAATAATCCCGAGACCGTTGAAGGCTTTGAACACCTTTGCCGAAGAGCTTCCATGGAGACTATAATTTACGGTTCTTCTATCAATCTTCTTCCCTGTCACGACAGATGTTAAATCAGAGGAGGAAAACTTGCCTTCCGTGCGGATTGTAGGAGAAAAGACCCAAACTTTTGTTCCTCTATCAATTTTCTATAGGACGTCAAATATGTCTAAATGTCCTAATAGACTGCTTTATAGGACCAAACAATTATGCGTCCTATTAGTCTTTGAGGTGGAGCCGTAGGGGTGTAAACGAGTCGAGTAATAGGTTATTCGAGCTCGGCTCGAAAGAATTATACCAGGCTTGACCTTGAGCTCAAGTAACTTTTCCAATGTAGGGCTCAAGCTCAATGCTTGTTTACAGGCTCGAACTCATTATCGGTTAACTCGTTTACTGGCTCGAGGTTTATATTTTTTATGTATTATTTATTAACATATAAGCATGTTTGGCTCAAAAAAGCATATGTTCGAATGGCTCGGCTCAGCTCGACTCGAAATTTTAATAGAGCTTTCGAACGAGCCGAGTCGAACATTGGTTTTATGAAGCTTGACTCGTTAAGTTAAACGAGTTCTATTTTGTGTTTGAGTACGACTCAAGCTCGAGCTCGAGTCACTCGTATAAGCTCGACTTGTTTACACCCCTAGGTGGAGGTCAGGTTTACGTCCATCTTACCACCTTGGCCCCACCTCCAGGTGGGATATAGAGGGTTCCCTTGGTTTGGTTTATACATGTTTGCGTCCTATAAAACTGATTCTGTTTGTAATGCATGTTTTCCTATTTTGCAACCACTTTTGCTGCTCGTCGGTAACCCTCATGGTTGCTAAAGGACACTACGCTTGTGATGCGCATACTTCAAATTTATGCATCGGAAAAGAGCCTCTTCCTTGGTTGTGTATCATATAGTCATATCTATTGTTGACACTAACGCAACCAAGACAAATAAAGTAATGATTTTGATGCATACCATTGTAGATTGTTACACCGATGGTTGTTCCAGCAAACCCGATAGTACTAAAAGTGCAAACAGCATTCAACCATCTTAAGGAATGAATGTTTGGAAGTTGAGAAAGAACAAATTCAAAGATCCCAAAGAAGATAACAAAATGTTGAAGTGTTAAACTACCCTCTTCATGGTAGTATTTGTACACTGCCTGCATATGATGATATGTATATATGTGAGAACATGTGGAACCCTGTCGGATTACTCTCCAAAAGAGCTCTTGAGTAGAGAACAGAGGTTCCAACATACATGGAGGAGAAATGGTCCAAATCTAGCTCATGTGGGACTCCAACACACCTCCTCCAACAGGGGCTAAACGAGCACAAATTGCCGGAGCGTTGAGTGCCTAGAGTGGTAGACTTTGACTCTGATACCGTGTGAGAATATGTGTAACCCTGGTAGATTACTCTCCAAAAGAGCCCTTGAGGAGAGAAAGGAGGTTCCAACATACATGGAGGAGAAATGGTCCAAGTCTAGCTGATATGGGACTCCAACAATGTAAATATAAATAAACGATAGTGGTGATTCATATTTGTATCACTACTAAAAGATTGATGAATTTACTGACCTTAAGACTACTTCCAGCAGCAATTTGAATGGCGATATTGTTGCCCAAAGAAGCCACCTGCTGGAAAAATGCAATAGACCAGTAACCCCATTTTCCTTGAAGACCATACATGATAAATGTCAAAAGAGGATTAAAGGAACTAAAATCCGTTATTAGTTACATACATATATATATATATATATATATATTCAAGTATGGAACTATTTTGATGATGTATGGTGTATGAAACTATTGCGAGTAAGGTATTTTTTTTTATGTATATATATATATGATGTATGAACTACGGGTTATGGACTATGGTTAAGTGGTTGTGTTTTTACTTGCATCTTTAAGATATAATCGGATTTATTTCAATAATTCTATTAACATATAGTTTAAAGCTCATAACTAGCCCAAACTATGTAAACCTTCAGACTAAACCGTATTTTGTTGTCTGGTTTGACTGGCTTGGTCACTTTCATACCAAACCACACAGCTTGAGAAAATCTTGAAATGTCACTTGCCGTCTAGTTTGTTGAAAAGGGGTTAGACAGCCCAGGCCAGCGCCAGACCACGAACACCCTTAAGAACACTTAGAATGCGTTCGTAATCCAAACAGAACAATTGTCCAGCTTTTGGTAAGATGGAACTCGACAAGACAAAATAGATAAAATGACCAATTTAGCCGTGATGATTTGTTTATATATTTTATATATTTTGATTAATTTATGTAATTTATTTTGAGGTTACATTGGTAAAATATTGGTCCATATGTGCCAAGTAAAAGTTCCGCCAAACATGGAACAATAATCCCTGTTTTGTCTTCACTATGTACCAAGAGCACCCTTAACAATTTATACAGGCCATCCAACAGGAAACAATTTGAAGATGGATGAAGTACTCATGAATGAAGAAGGGAACAAAACTAACCATAAATGCTACGAGCAAGATGTCTATAAGTGGTGTGCTTCTTCCCATCCCATTTCCATAGAGAAGCAATCAAAATACTCGAGTACCATGTAGTTAAGGTTGCACCCACCAAACTTAGCACTCCTTTTGTGGTTCATCATTCATAGACAAAACAACAAACACCTTGTGGGTATAAATCAAATCCAACTTAACTACCACCAACAATTTCAAAACAATTAGCAGAAGTCGGCATAATACCTAGAGGCCATCCGAGAGAAGAGACGGCGAAGGGGAGCGGAGCATAAGCGGCAGGAGTAGCGATGGTGGTTGCGACGTGGAACGCAGCGTGTTTCCATGAGCCTCTAGTACTGGTAAAAGAGTCGTCTACCGTAACGGCTGAAACTTCCTTTCCGTCGTCACCACCGTCGCCGGAGAAGTTATCCGGTATTGGTGGTAAGCGGGTCGAGGCCATTTTTTGGCGTTCTTGAGTTGGGTTTGGTGAGTGGAGACCGAGATATCACTGATATTGGAACAAAAGTCGCCATGGATCGCCATCGCTTTGACACTTAGTGAGATCTCTTTTGACTTAAGACAACCATAACCTTTACAAGCAAAAACTAAAATACAGATTTGTCAAACTTGGTGGGAACCATGACTAGAGTAAATTACGTTTTTAGTCCTTCTAGTTTGATGAAAGTTGTTATTTTCAACCTTGTATTTTTCTAAATTATGATTTTAATCCCTATGATTTTATAATTTACAACCTGTCGATGTTTTCATTCATGTGGTTTAAAATTCATTCGTGTTTTCGTCCATATACTTAAATGTAAGAGTTAGCGTCAACGACAAAAATAACGATGGACTGCAACCTCATTTTGTTCTGGGATTCTTCTTTTTCGTAGGGCAATTGTGGCGATCCTTTTATTTTTTTCTCTCGAACTGATAGATCCATGAATCGGGATCCTAATGCATATAGATACAAATGGCTCGTTGGGAGCAAGAATTTTCATGAACATGAAGCATGGCTACCGACTCACATTGGGCCTAGTGCCCAGGTGCCAATATCTTATTACGAATAAATTCTGACAACTTCAAAAGAAAACGAAGCTTTACCTGTTAATTCACTCAACCAAGCCCTTTTAACTCAATGGTAGAGTAATGCCTTTGTGAGGGCGTAACTTTCGATTCATTTGTGGGATCTGGACGGTCTGAGGGGGACCGAATTTGACTCTTGGTAACTCTTGTGTTCTAAGCATGATGTTTTCTAATTAGGTCAATTGAAATCCCCTAATATATGAGATAGTGAAAAGTGCTTTTGTTGTTGAATTATGGAATTACAGAAACACAAATCGTGATTTTTAACAAAAAGCATAATTTACTCCAAAAATTAAAAGACAATCGATTTGAACTAGTTTTATTTTGGTTAAAAACTTGTTCGGTCTCATATCATGCCATAAATTCAATATATATTTGAATTCGTTTTAATTGAGGAAAAACAGATTTAATATAGCTTTGTCTTAATAATGAAAATTAAAACTTTTTAATTCAAAAAAGAAAACAAATTGAAAAGGTTCCTGATTAAATCATCGGTTTATTTTATGTGACGGAACTCACAATAGATTATGAGGATGATAGTTAATCTATATCACATAGTAGGAGGTGTGAAGTATACACTCGTGCAAACTAGTTAGAACTCGATATTACTGAATGACACCTTCTGGTGGGGTTCAAGGGGTCACACCCCCTTGCAGGTCCTAGGGGCAACACACCCAGTAGTGGTCTTTGTTGTGTGTAACACCCCCGTCCCGTGTGGTCAAAGACAGGAGATGTCACAAGTGGTTTTAAAAAAAATAATGCGTTATATAAAACAGAGTAGCTAATAAAATTTACCAAAAAATAATTACATAACCACAGACGGAGATAACGTGTCTCAAAATACGGTCACAAAATACCAGTATGTCTACATTAGTCATCAAAAGTATGACTTAATGGGTTATCTTCAATATTGTCATCTCCGTAGCTCTCGTCCCAAAATCCCTGCTAAGTCATGTACCTGCCGAGGACAAGAAAATATCGGTTGAGCTTAATGCTCAGTGAACGGATAATAATATAACTAAACAATGAATATGAGATAACAAGTTCAAAAACAATTTATAACGCTAAGTGATAATTCAAAAGAAAGTCAAAATGCCCCAAAAGCATATCAAGGGTCCGAAGACCAAACCGCATCACGATGACGCATTGTTCCCAAAGGATGATCAGTCCATTCAGGCACAAGTGAGGAAAGGGGTGTGAGCACAACACAGCAATCCTCTCCGTGGATTTAACCACGACCACAATTCATTATCCGATAACGGTTCCTAGGATCGATCCATACGCCCTCTATTCGACCGGTACATAATCAAGTCCACTTTTAAGGACTATAAAAATGAGGACGTCATGATCGTTTTAGTCACCATGGAAACATCTCAATACCGGTGCTCCAGTTATTGAGTCTATAGTAAAATGTTTCACAAATGAAGCAATCAAACAAGTCAAGTGATTAAAATTATCCATATTCCGAATAAGAATATAAGTCGTAGTTCAAAAGGAAACAAAGTTCAATAACATATGATAAGCATAAAGGGAATTCAAAACAAAGTATTCGAAATTTATCACAGATTATCTGGATTAGGAAGCCTTACGCAAAGGGCTATCCCCATGTCAAGTGAGATATGAAATCCGTACCTTAACCGAATTTGACAATTAACGCACGATCAAACGGAAATTCACGATCAAGTTTGATTTGCTCGCATGCCTAACGAATGCATAACCGGTTACTATTTACAAAGCATAAAAAACCATAACATAATTATTCTAATAAAATTACTTAGGTCTTAATGTACTTAAACAACGTAGACTTCAAGAAAGACAGCCGGATACGAATTGAAACTCAAACGTAAACCTTAGTCTTATTCTCTTTCGATCTAACCGCTTATGTCCCTCTTATTTATAAGCATTTTTACCTTACCTAGAGACCAATCTAGATTATATTGTTTAAATGAAAGTTGTATATTGGTATCATACGAGTCTATTGCTTTTGAAATCATCTCATTTGAATCATCCATCTATTTTATATGAATTTTACAAAACTGTAAATTAATCCCGAATACAGTGTAAACAGCCCCAAAAACACACTGTTTCGAGCCACCTAGAGTCATAACTCGATTTTCGACTCTTCATAAAAGTTGTAGTATGAAGTATGATCTTTCTGAATGCAAAATACGAGCTTAATCCGACTTACAGTTTGTGAGTTATACACTGTCAAAGTACGGGAGTTACATTGTCGGTAAAATTCGATTCTGTAATTCCCGACTAACTTTTATGATCCAACTTTCATGATTCGCTACATTTACATGCTATAAACATACTTCAACATACTAAACAGTAAAACAAGTCCAATGGTTGCTAATCTAAGCTTAATCATGCATTTTTTTTCTTTTCAACATTTAACCGAACAATTGGTGTACGGTTAAACATATATCCACAATCTAACCATATTGAAATTATAATATACTCTTTTCATTTCTACATCAATTTAACCAGTCCTAGCATTCTAAGCATCAAATAAAATCATAATTTGACAACATCAAACCGTAAACTTAAACATAAACACACTTTATAAACCGGTCTAAATAACCCTAATATAAACACCGTAATAAAACTGAATGAAATTTATATCTTTAAGAAGAGTTCGGAGAGTAGATTCTGAATATATAATTGTTACTTCGATTTCCTTACTAATTTGACGTAAAATTTAGAGAAAAGACGAGAGTTTTAAAAAGAGAGAAACTGAGGATGGAGAGGGTGATGAAACCGTCTTTCCATGCATACATGTGCATATATATATATATACTTGAGACCCCGAAAAATGGACAAATTCCTCAATAAAATTTGATCAATCCCTTTTTCTTTTCTATATATGGAAAGTTCCAAAAAGAGGCTGGCCCAACTTAAATGAGATCATGAATTAGTAACTGCATCCAATTTCTCTCTAAAATTGCAGTCATGGTAAAATCTTGGTTAACAGAGAATCTTGAATACTATTAGAAATTTATATTTGATTATCATAAGAAATCTTTCTTATGATAATCAAATATAGTCACCCTTCTTTGGTAGAAGTAATTCTTTCTTGTAAATGATATTTTCCATCGTCTAAAATCAATTAGGCGTTGGGAGGCGAACTTTATGTTAAATAAGAGACTGTAGGAATTGGGTTCAAGCTTTCCCCAGACATCGATTTCTCAATAAGATCAATTTTTTTGACAAGCTTCTTCCAAAACAAACAATTCGAAATACCTCGACTTTTTAGAACCCTAACTATGGCGGAATATTTCCGAGATGCCTTTGGATTTTTTATTTACTCAACTCTTCCTCTAAAGATTCCCGGGGGGGAAAAATAGAGATGTCTCAGGTTTTTTCGGAAAACTCTATTTATTCTGGTTATTGAAAATAATAAGACATGTATTTGGATCCGATTACGCCTATTCCTAATCCTAAATGGATGAATAAATGGAAATATTACTTTGTCAATTTCAGAATTTCTTCGAATATGCCGTATGCAATGCATAAAAGATGGCATCTCTTTTCGGAAGACGGTTGAGTCCCCCTGTTTTTTGTTCGGTTTCTCTTTGAAAGAAGGGGCGCTTCCGGTTGACCCTTACCTTCCATCAAAGAAAGAAAAAAGAATATATATATATATATATATATATATATATAGAGTTTAACTATTTGATGATTTTTACACTTCAAGTCTATATTCTCTACTTTGTGTCAATATAGGTATAAACTCAATTTTTGACGTAAAACTCATATGAGGTACAAGTTGGTTAAACATAAGGTACAAATATGTTATGCACAATTCTACCAAAAATTCACTTAACTCAATTTGTACGAGTTAACGAAACACGGATATTATATTGTGCAAGCAGTTTGTAATTGTTGTGTAGTTAACTATACGTTAATTACTCCAGCAATCATTTTCTTTTACCTGGGAAATTTTTCTAGCATTTAATACAGGGACTGTTTTACCATTATCTAATGTTGCATTCTCGAAACCTTTTTTCCGAAGGAAAGGAAAGAAAAGTGAGGAAAGTAATAACAAAACTCATGTTCTTGAAACTATTTTAGGAGATAAAGGAAAGGAAATGGAAGGAAAATAATGATAAGTTTCCTTCCAAAATTTTCCTCCCAAATGTGGGAGAAAATGAAAGAAATTAAAACCCTTTATAAAAATTATTAAAACCCGTTATAAATAATTTTCATTCTTCATATATTATTACCCCCAATTAGAGATTGACATTTAAGATCGGTTAATGGGTTCTGGCCCGATCCAAGACAATCAAGATCAAAATGATTTGGAACCAACTGATCATGACAAATCAGATAGTTTTGTAGAAGAACCGGTCAAACTTTTTTTCATTGTGATATAAATACAATCAATGGCAGAGCCATAATTTTATTGTAGAGGTGGCTAAACGATGTATAACTAAATGAACTTACACTGCAAAACACAGAAGTTTCATCAAAGGAAAAATTCGTTGGTAATCCGTCAAAAAGATCCATCACCAGCGGATCTTACAGTCAGAGAAATTGTGGTCGATGTTCATGATTACCTATGGATTTATCATCATCGGTGAAAAAATCCGCCTTTCATTATCTGGGAGATGAAAGCTTTCACTATGAAGATTTATGATCTAAAAATTGGATCATAAAAATGTTGATTTATATAATTTGGATTTTATACAACGATATTTTGATATAAAAACATCATCTATAAAATGTTTGGGAATAAAATATAATATAAAAAATTTATTGTGAATACTATAGGTGAGCATTTGCAGGCCTGAGACTGAGCTAACTTATTTTTTTGTCCAACGAGCCTAATATTGTAAACTTCAACCCTTTTTTTCGGGCGTGATAACTTGTCATTGCCGGCTCTATAAACGGGACGGGCTTGCCTACAGGTTAACATACCTAAAAAGTGTAACTCTTATTAATTAACAAACGTGGAACCAAAAAGTAAATTAGAAAACCCATTACAATTAAAACTTTAAGCAACGACTGACTTTATCAATTGTTGATCGATTAAGACTTTTGACATAAGGATGTTAACAAATATAACGTAGAGCCTTTTGGGTTCTCAAGTAAAACCAAAGAGTCTCAACTCTCATTCTTTAACTTAAATAATTTAATTTTAAAATATACTACTATAATTTTAATTAACGATAAAAAAATATTAATTATAAAACATAAACAGGCTGGACGAGCCTGTCCATATCTATTTTTATATTGTCCACGTCCGTCCATTAATTTTACCGAACAAATCCGGACCCGTCCATTTTCTTAATAATGGTTGTCCACGCCTGTATTTCTAGTGGACCGGATGAGCCGAGTCTAACGGGTCGTCCCACCCATGAACAACTCCAGTGAATACAAAAGATAAATATCAAAATATTTGTTAAAAACAAAAATAAAAAAAATACTGATGATTAAATAATTAAATTAAATAAAAATTATAAACATTTATATCAAATTAAATACTGGTCATTTGATAATAATCGTAAAATATCAGTATTTTTTAATTCTAATTCAACAATTTTAATTATCATATGTGAATTTTTTTCATAAAGACAAAATGTTTAACGGCATTCTAACGGCTTCAAGGTTCAATGTGGCATACTTACCGTTTAGGACACAACCTCCGTCGTCATCTCAACACGTGGCAATTGCAATAGTGCATGTTGATGGTAACCATTACATAAAGGTGGTATTAAATGGAGAATATCCAATGTCCACACTTACGCACCATTGGACTCGTTATCGTTTTGAAGATGCAAGTACATGGATTGTCCCGTATCAACATAGATTCAATGCATATGAAGAATATATAGAGCGTACTCTTACTCGTGAATATGTTGATTTAACATGAAAAATCAAAGTTTTAATTAATAAATTTAATTTATATTTGAAATATGTATTATTAATATTTTATTAATATGTATTATTAATATTTTATTAATTAATAATAATACAAAACATGTTAAAAAAGTAAAAGGTTAAAAGTTAGAATATAAAAAGGTTAGGGTTAAAAGTTAAAAAATTAAAAAGTTAAAAATGAAAATATTTAAGTTTTGTCTTTAGCTGTTTTTTGTCTGTTAGTGTAAGAGGGGGTGAGATTTAGTTGGTAGCAGGGGGTTGGGGTTAGAAAACCCCATATATATATATAGATATAGATATATTTATTATAATAATATTCTTTTAAATTATTTTTATCAGTATTTAAAATATATATATATATATATTATTTAATAAAAATCAAATATTTAATATTATAATAAAGAAATTTATGGAAATTGATTGCAATTTAAATCACTAATTATATTTCTTACAGAGGGACCACAGTGATAATGTTTTTCTACGGACCGACAAATCCACACGGAAATCAAACCCCTAATCGTAAAACCTCAAAGGAGTGTTGAAGAGAACCCTCACCGCATCGGAGATCGGCGATAACGATATCCACGACGGCGATCACTAGGTTTCCGATCTACGACTTCTACACGTGTAATTGGAGACGATGGTTTACTTAACATCGTGGGACGATTTTGTCGAAAGATCAGTTCAGTTATTCCGTGCTAGTCCCGAGAAAGTATGGTTACCTACTTTAATGTATTTGGTTTCATTTGTGTAACAATCATGATGATTCTTCATATTTTTTGGAGGACAGACTCGTTATGCGATGAAATACAGACATTCTGAAGGTAAATTGATTCTCAAGGTCACTGATGATAAGGAGGTATACTTATTGTTTTTTGATTCACTTAGAATTCGTTATGTGAGGATTGGTTGTAGTTGACGTACTGTAATTCTGCTGCTTATGCTTGTTGGAAATTTGTTAGGATCCAAGGAAAGGGAAGGAGCTTTAGATTAAAAAAAACCCTAGGCGTCTATGCTCGTAGTTGTTAACAAGGTCTTGGTGAAAATTATGAGTGTCGATCCCCATAATTTTCCTAAGAAGTAAGAACTTGTATTAGGCACTCCGTTTATTTAAGTAGATGGAATGAGTTGAGCTTTCGATTTAGAACACCCAATAGATCCCTGTCGGAAGCTACTGCAAAGGCGTTCTTAGGGTTTGATTGGCTGACAGTGTTAATGCAGCAGCACATATCTGGTTCTAATACTATTGATGTCGTTTGCAGTGAGCAGTTGCTTAATCATATTCATACTCCTCAGTTATAGCATAACCACAATGCGAAATGCTCATAGTTCATCCCCTGGAAGTAGGTGTTGGCAACTGTTAAGTTGGTTTGTGATCAAAAGAGGGGGGTGTCAGTAAACCTTGAATTTTCCCATGTTAAATAATCACATATGCACTACAGATTCCTGTCTTTAAAATCTACCCATTTGATGCAAATTGCTCATGTAGAGGTTTTTTATATCCTAGAGTTGACATTTGCAGTTACTACCCTTCTGCTCCATAATGTTTTGTTATGGTTGAAGGACTACTTATTGTACCTGCCAATCGATTTTCTGGGAATGGGTATATCATGATCCACGGACATCTAAGATCACCTGGGTTAACATGCATAGCAAGGGATCATATTGTTGGAATTCTGGAACTGTGAGGATCTGAGAACCTGTGGTAAAGAACCGAGGATCATAAATGCTGCCACAAATAGTTATTATGTTAATTGTCAGTTTATCCACTTCATTGAAACTTCGTTTCGTCTATTGGTCTTTTTTCTCATGGTTGAAACCTGACATAATCTAAACTTGTTCAACTTGGTTGAGCTCTTTCTGAAACATGAATCATGGGTATGACATTTAGTTAAGATTCTGCCTAACTGCGAGATGGTAAGACTGACATATCATTCCTACCTTGGTTGTTTCATGTCCCTAGCTTTAGCATGGAAAGCCCAAATCATTTGGTTCAATTCTCCTGCCAGAAAATTCTCTTAAGTTGATTGGTCCAACAAAAGCTATAAATAATCTGTTTCGGAGCACTCATGTACCTTACAGTCTGCTATTTTAAATCTCATGTATAATATTGTATTAATGCTTTTAGGAGACACATAATTTATTTGGTACCAATGAGATGGTTGTATAAACAGCTAAACTTTGAAATTCAACTGAAAGAGTTCAATTCAGACTTACAGTACATGTTTCACTCCTAAATTGACTTGCCCAATTTAGATAGTGTGATTTTATTTTTCTCACAAGTTTTAATATAAGTTCAGTTGAAAGACTGCGCTCCTACTTCCTAGTAATGCATGATAGGGCAAATTGCATGAAAAAATAACGTACTTTAACCTGATTCCTATTTTGGGTTACGTACTTTCAAAACTTCCATTTTGGTACCTAAGATGTAAAGTTTTAAACATTTAAGTACCCGGGTAACTAGTTGAAGTATTAACCGATTATCATGCTGATGTGGCGAGTGATGTGGTATCCAACTCGGTACTATTTGCTGATGTGGATATTTTTAAATCTAAAATTAGTCTTTTTTTAGTCTAAAGTTAGTCTTCACCAGGTTACCCGGGTACTTAAATGTTTAAAACTTTACATCTTAGGTACCAAATGGAAGTTTTGAAAGTACGTTACCCAAAATAGGAATCAAGTTAAAGTATGTTACTTTTTCATGCAATTTGACCTGCATGATATTATACATGAAAAGGATCGCATATGTTAGATCTGGTTGATTATATTCACAGGCAAAATTAATTTACTCCGTTTGTTTTACAGTTACAGATTATCTACTTTTGGGTGTTTGATAAAGTTGTCCTCTCACCGTTAACTACTTCAATGGAAACTTTACCTTTCATTCAACCTCAGCAAATGAGCCTTTTTTTTACAGATGAATACCTTTCATTCAACCTCAGCAAATGGGCCTTTTTTTTGTTATGGATGAACCTTATAAGGGGTGTGATCGAAGTGAAAAATCATCTTCTTATTTCCAGTACCCAGTTAGATTTCCTTTATACTTTTGCTGGTCTAAGAAATAAAATGGCCAAAGTAACGTTGATGCCAACATAACTCATCAAAGTGATTGTTAATCATACTCCATCGTAGTGCATTATCCTACAAACACAAAACAAAAGTCCCATAAAGATTGATAGAAATTGAACAATAAGCAAAAAGAAAATACAGAAGGAAGGAGACATATAGCAAGAGCTGCAGAAACAGTAGAAGAGACGTACAACATAAATAAGCAATGGAGATGAGTACATGAAGAAGAAAATAGAGAGGAGAGGACAGATGCAGAGAATAGAACATCAAAACCCTTCAATAGTTGGAGTGTGGATATATTGCCTTTAACTAAATACGTATATACCAGACCCCATCTTTGGGTGGGACATATTGGGTTCGTTTGGTGTGGTTTGGTTTTGTATACATATATAATCATATACATACATGAGTTGACATTATGCTTCTTTTATTGGACACAATCTGAAATGGTTGAAAATGAGTCAACTGTTTAGTAAAACAAGCCAAACTGTATCTACCTCCATCCATGCCAAATCAGCATGTTACTATTCAATGAAGGCGTAGCCGCGTAGGACAAATAAACTTAACAACTCTACTTCAATATATCACTTTTCCATCACAGTTTGTTCGACTTTCATGTGATTTCAAGTTGTGTTGGTTGTGTGTATTTGCCTGTATGCGACTCAGTTTCTTTTTGGATGGGTTTGTTGTAGTGTCTCAAGTTCAAGACGGATCAAGCACAAGATGCTAAGAAGATGGAGAAGCTTAACAACATATTCTTTACTTTGATGGCCCGGGGTCCTGAAAGTACTATTCCTCTCTTCTTTTATTGTTTTTTCTCTGTTGCATTCTTTATTATGCTGTTCGTTTTGATGGTGGTCGGATCTCTCTATTGGGTATGGCAAAACCACATGACAATACACAAACAAAATGAACATGATTGCATGATTTAGTATAGGTTTCCCTTGTTTAATGTATTCTGAGGATGATATGAACATAGGCCTGCTGGACTTAGACTAAAACACTGAACTAATTTAACACTAAGGGGATGTTTACTTTTTCTTTTTTTACATTAAAGCTTATACTAATAAGCCTGATATAGTTCTTATTCTAAAATTCCTCGAGTTGGAGCATGGATATTAGTTATGCCAACTTGACAAGCAAAACAGAAATCCAATCTACAAAACAGCAACCTGATCTTCGACACTCTTCCCACATTCAGATCACATAGAAAGTCAGAGTACAGAACATAATTTGATATTGATGCTGACCTATAAATAAAGCCAATAAAGATACTTTTTTAACTGTTATTCATCTAGCGGTCAGCAGCAAAACAGTGTGACCGATTCTGATATATGCATCTTGCTTTTCTTAAATACATCTCTGTGTTCTGTGTATCTATCTTATTGCTTTTACTTTCACATACCTTCATCATTACCTCATTGCTTTTACAAAAGTCATCATGCATGTGAAATAAAATGTTGTTATCTTTACTACTTGAAAAGCTTATACTTTGGCTTAAAGTGTGTGTGACCCCCTGTAAGAATATATGTTTTTGATGGGGTATCTTTAGATCTCACCTCGACATTACTGGCAGATTTTGTTGTCCTAAAAATAATACCCCGTTCCTTGAGAGTGAGAAAGAGAGAGATCCAATTTTAACCTCAAAGGTAGCTAATTGTCAATACGGGGCCGTTTACCCAAGGCTTACCCGGTAAGCGCTTATCTGTAAAAGTCAACACTTTAACTTAACTTACCAGGTAAGATATTTAGTCCATTAAACAGAATCGTATGCAACAATTTATCTAGTAAGCATTTACCGGGTAAGAGTCGTTACTCTCACTTACCGGGTAAGGCTCTTGGTCCTTGTTATCGCTCTTACCGGGTAAGATTATTAATTATTGTCATGTTTGTCATGTTCATCCGATAAGATAAAATGACCCGGTAAGCACTTACGGGTAAGCGTTTTGTAAACGGCCCCCAAGTGTAAGGTCTTAACCTTGAGGGCCAGCTCAACTGACAAATAAAGGCTAGGCTTTGGGGCTCCTCCCCATGGGTAGCCGGTTTGAGTCTCCTTAGGGTCGCTGGGGATTTTCCTCATTGTTATCTTCAGGTCCCCATGGGATTAGTCGAGGTCCACGCAAGCTGGCTCGGACACCCATGGTTACCTAAAAAATGGTATGAGGTCTTAGGTTCAGTTATTCACTTGTCTCTATATGGTTGATTGATATTAATTACTGGACACATTTCTAACTGAGAATCAAATATAGAAGAAAGAGGTCGATTGACATAAATTACCAGGACACCTTTCTGATTTAAAAGAGTAGAATAAAAATATAAGAGCGACATTTATCGAATACCGATCAGATTGAGCTCTTTTTACTTTGATCTGTACCATCAATTCATATATCGTGGGAATTATTGATCCAGAATATTACTCCCTCTGTCCCAAAATAAATGTCCACAATGAAAAAAGGCACATAGTTTTAGGAATGTGTAAATATTACACTTTTTAATCAACAAAATGACAGTTTTACCCTTAATTATTGTAAGAGAGATTTTCCCCATCACATAACTAAGGGTAGAATGGGAAAATATACATTTGCTTTTGAAAGTGGACACTTATTTTGGGGACATGACACAAGATCGTGTGAGAATAGGAGTTAAAGATGAGAAGTGTAAGGAATTTGGACCCTTGATCACTTTTAATCCCAAAACAACACATGAATTGTGCTTTCAAGGGAAATTGATCTAGTGTATCTCATCAATATTGATCTAGTGGATCTCTTCTATTAGGATTGATCCATCCTTCTCACGCTTCTCACCATTACTGTCATTCTCACCCGGAAGCCAACCTTTTGGGACAAACTAAAATAGTAATGTAGACACTTATTTCGGGAAAAATGACCAGAAAAGGTGAAAGCAAGTCTTGTTTCTTTGGATGTACTGAACAAATTAAAAATAGAGCGGGATTTGTGTCAAAATTATAGTAACGAGGAATGATGTCTTTCTTTTGTTGCAGCTGATATAACGGAGGTCACTGGGAAAGAACAGACCGAAACACACCCTTCTCGAAAAGGAAGGGGAAGGAAGCAATAGCTTAAGTTCTTCAGACGTTTTTCGGAATGGTTGGTTTTCTGAATATTTACAAAGATGAATTTTGTTGCACACAAGTTTTGTACTGAGTTGTATGAATAGTGCATCTTTTGGGGTAAACGTCTACTCTGCCCAACCCCACATTTCTGCTTATAATGTTCTCCCTTTGTGTTACAAAACCTTAGAATCCTATTCTTCTGCCTGACTAGTGACTGAATTTTGTTGCCATATTTTTGGACATTTTTGTGTGTGAATTATTCCAAACCAAGGGACTTTTATTCCCCTAAAAGATTGCTCTTTAATACCAAATGAGTCATTGGTCCAACGGAATTGGTTGCCGGTAAAGCCTGCCTCCATGAAGGTCAGAGGGAGACTCGAGATTTTTGCTTAGTGGGTGCACCTTTAAGGTGGATCAAAGGCTCGCAAAGTCATACGATCTGTTTTTAGCTGCATCATTTTGAGTGGGATTTTTGAAGTCTTTTGGTTGGTTTCTAGGGAGTTTTTGAGGTTTTTGATTGATTTTGAGGGATTTTTTTAAAGTTTTTTGGTTGATTTCAATGGATTTTTTTGGTTGATTTTCCTGTAATTTTTCTAATATCCCACCCCTTGCACCTTTCATACTAGAAAACGCTACTTGCAAAAATAGGTTGAGCAAGTGTACATGGCCCTATCCTAGGTCCGTCCTGTTTGAGGCTAAGGGTTCAAATCTCACCAAATGTGAGAAGTGTGCGGCAATTTTAGTCCAGTTTCATCATTTTGAGGGCTTTTTCAAGTCTTTTGGTTGATTTCTAAGGAAGTTTAAGTTTTTTGGTTGATTTCGGTGGACTTTTTAAGTTTTTTGGTTGATGTTTCTAATATCCTAGAGCACCCTTAAAAGTTTAGGGGGTGCATAGCCAAAAAAAATCTACTTACGAAAATCGGTTGAGCAAATGTACGGGACTCCGCCAGGTCCGCCCCTGATGGAGGTTAAAGGTTCAAAACTCAGCATCGGTATTTATAGTATAAGAATATTATTTATAGAGTTGTACCGTACAAGGTGGAGATGCATAGTTGAATTATTTTGTTTCATATGTAGCCAGCAACAAGATTCTTCAAGACCATTATGGGAGCCTCTGATCCCTATGAAAGCATTTTCCTTTTAGTTGATTTGTAGCCCTCACCTCACATTAGCAAAAATATAAATATAAAGTGTTTCCTACAATGTGGCTTTTATTAAAGCATCTTTAACTTGTTTGCTTTCCCATTTCTCAACAAAGGCTTCAATGTTTGTATGTTTTTACTTATATTCTAGCTTTCAAATATACCATACCAAGTTGGAACAAATGTGGGGTCGTTTACTTAATATTTATCTGGTAAGCATTTACCGATTGAACATGGAAAGGATCGAGAAATCTTACCTGATAGAAGGCATGGCAGGACCGAGAGTCTTACTCGGTGAGGGAAATGATTCTTACCTGATAAGCATTTGATGGGTTTAAGACGCCTACCAACAATCCATTTTGATGGTTGAAGATGTTACATGATAAGGTAAGTGAAAATACGGTCTTGAAGGTTCACCTACGAACCTACAAATCGTAAGAGATTAAAAAGAAAAAGGTAGAGAGCAAAGTGCATTTTGCATAATATGAACCTTTATGTCCCCCCCATCAAAGTGCTTGCCAGTGTAAGATTATATTCCCTGAATAAAAGGCTTTGTTTGGCACATTATTCCTCAAATTTAATCTTTAATTTTGATTCCTAATTAAGAGATGTTTCCTTTGAAAAATAATTCAAGTTATGATGGGAAGAATATATGCATTGGGAGTTGTACCAAGGGTTTAAAGAGTTGTACCATTGGATGAAGAGGGTATTGGAAAAGTACCCAATGGGTTTTGAGGAATCCCTTTTTACACTTTTTATGACCATAAAATCCAAAATGCAACCTCCAATGCCATTACAATTTCAATCATATGCTTGTATCAAAGGGTACAACATCTCAATGCATCATCAACCCTTTATTCCATTTGTCTCTTTTACCCTTCTTTGTTATTATTATTTTGATGTTTATCCTAATCTGAGTTTATCTTTAACAGATGTTGGTTTTCTCTAAAGACATTGAGAGTCACTTTAAACACCTTAATATTTTCAAGACTCTGGTTATCCAAAATGGCTTTATTATTATTATTATTATTATTATTATTATGCAATAACATATGTTTACCGTTTGGTTATTTTATGGTCATTCAAGGAATTAGTCGGTGCATGTAAGTTGGTTGAAACTTCAAATACAAAAGGTTAATCAATCATGTTATTTGTACAGGGTCTATTGTTCATCTTCAACTGACTAATAAAATGTGTTAATAAAATGTTATAAAAGAACTTGAAACTTCATAGTGAAACGCTATAAAAGTAAATATTTACAGTGTTTTTACTGTGAAGGTTCGGCTTCTTTTTACCTTTACAGCATTTTGCTGTAAAGTTTTAAGTGTAAAAAAAATTGTCTCATGAAAACAGTCGTGTCTCACGTGAATCCAACTCTATATATATAGAGGTATAGAGAGAGAGAGAGAGAGAGGAGGAGGAGGTTTGTTTTGCAAACCACATTATTTGTACAAACCATACAAAATTTATTTAACCAATCATAATTTTTCATTTTGTTCATTTTTTGTAATTATGAGAGGTTGATTAATCATTTTTATTGTGGATGGTGTTAATCATGAATATTATTATCTTCATTATTTTAATTTTAGAGAAATACATGAAACAGTTTCATTAAAATTTCATTAAGTATTATATAAAACAATTTTATAACCATATATGAAACTTCATCAAAAAAAAGTATTATATGAAATAATTTCACAAGATTAAACAATTTTATGAAGAAAAAAAAATTATAAGGTTAAACAATGAAATTGACGGATGAAGGTGATTTGCACGGTTTGTACAAATTGGATGGTTTGCATTTGATCGTTCATATATATATATATATATACTAGAAGCG